ATTTACAAAATCTTAAATAATGAAACTGCTCCAAACCTGGAAGAAAACTTTTTGAAAATAAGTGATTGTCCAATTACACACCAATTAAGAAATTCTCAAACAGATCTGGTACTTCCATTCCCAAAATCACAATTTAAGAAAAAGACCTTCAGTTATAATGGAGCAACTCTTTGGAATAACTTATCAATTACTGCTAAACAATCCAATTCCTTAAGTTGTTTCAAAAGACTAATGAAACAACATTTTCGAAAACCATAAGTATGTAAATAGTTTTGTATGTTTGTTATTTATTTATGTTTGTTAATTGTCAAAATAATAATCATGTAAATAGTTTGTATTATGTATATGTATTAGTCTTATTCTTACACGTCCCTTATGGAAACCATCAAAAGATGTTAGGGCTAACGTGTTTAAATAAATTTTTATGTATGTATGTATGTATGTATGTATTGAAGAAAATTGATAGATAGATAGATACATAGATAGAGATAGATAGATAGATAGATAGTTTAATTAATACATTACAACCCACGGGTTGAATTACGCTTCTAACTTTACAATAAATATTTACTTTATCTAAAATACATTGTAGAATTATGTTGTATAAAACTAGTCCTACTAATAGAAACGTTAAAAATGTTCTCTTTCCTCATATTATAATTTGAAAAGTTCTTACATGGTAGTAATTGGTAAAGCTTATGACTTTCGTCATTTGCAATGTCATTAAATAGTTTAGTAGTTAGAATTTGTCTTCTATTAAATAATGAGTCAACTCCCGCTTCTACCAAAGCTTCTGCATAAGGTAACGTTGGGAAGATGATATGAAGGGCTCGCTTCTGTAACTTCTCCAGATCTTCGCATAGGTAATTCGGCAAGGAGTCGTGGAAAATGGCACAAGCATATTCCATCACAAGACGCACACAGATCAGGTAAAATGTTAGTAAATCCTTTGCAAACGACCTACTTTATCCTCAAATTTTGCGATTAACAACGTATCATTATATAATTAATTGTTTACAGTTGAAGGCTTCAATCCATATTTCAATGTGATATGCAAATTACGAAAAAAAGCCATGGTACAAATCGATTGTGGCGTTGTTACTGTACTATACCATATATAGAAGAGGCACGACTCCGGAAATTCGTATAGGTAATCGAATGGGGCCGAGTAAAATTAAGGTTTAATTTCATGCGTGCATGTTTTACAACCCATAAATTAGTACTTTTTCTAGTGTACGACTTTTCACTAGAAGGTTTTAATTCTGCAATAACATCATTATCGGCAACGACAAAGCGAGAAGCCATTGTTTGTATCGCTCTTTCAAACAAGAAACTTCCCGCGCTGCATGCGTCTCAGCCAATCAGGTACAAGTAATTTAGCCAATCATATTCGAGTAATTTTGCCCTCTATATGATTAAAGATTCAATCGTCAATTTCCAAAATTATATAGCAGCAACAACCGAATTGCTTTAAAAATACATAGCATGAGAATAAAATATTGGTTCGTTAAAGGGTTCAAGCACCATGGAAAAATTAAGGCATCAAGGATTAAATCAAGGTTGCAAGTTACATCACAACACATCATGTGACGAGACAATGATCTGTGAGTGGAGCTCCATAGTCCAACGGGTAAACTCTATACATTCAAATTAATTGCTTCAAAACTTCAAAATTTAGTTGAATTAACAATTCTGGAGTTAAAAAAACAGGCCCACATTTCTTTGTTCCTTCGGTAAACCAGGGACTGTTCACGAGAGCGTGTTTAATCGGGTAACTCACCTGAGTTAGATCTTCATTCACTTTGTTAACATATTTAGGGAGCATATCAACATATTTTTCAGTTTCATTTAACAAAATCTTAAAATAGATTCGAATCTGATGAATGCACCTCAACATATGGATTTTTAGGATTCAATCTGAAACTTGATTAGGATTCAACGTTCCTTTTGAGATTCTGGCCTTCTGGCATGTACCTTGATCCGGCCGCAAGGTATATATGTACACACCCAGCGGTGGACTATAGAAAACAGGAAGTTCATTCGATTCTCACAATTCGTTCCATTTGTTTAACGAATCCAAAAAATCCGAATCCTAAAAGTCCAAATCTAGATTTATAAAAGAAACGCTCCTATAAAATGAAATTTGTGTTCACACGAGAAACGAGCCAGTCCGGCCAGATGAGATCACACCTTGCGCCAGGTGGGACCTCAGTCAAGTGGGATCAAATTTTTCAAAGGAAGGTTTTATTCAACCTGACGTGGATGGACACTTTTTGCCGATTTTGATTTATCATATAGAATTGAACGGCATATAGCCACAGTTGGACGATATAAACAAAAAAAAGTTTAATAGACCTGGAAAGACAAGGTGCAGTTCGTTTAAATGCAACAAAAATGTTACATTATGTTAACATCATGGCGTCCCACAGAGGCAGGATATTAGGTGGAATGAAAACATTAACAGTCATATGAACAGCCCTCAAATCTGACGGCATAATATTCGCTGATGTCGGAATACATACCTTAATGTCCTCCCATTTCAACGTTTTCAGATCCAAAACATGAACATCTCTAAACCATCGTTTGTTCTTGGATCCTCCATAAACATAAATAACGTTCTGCACTGGATCATATGTCGCACTATGACCCATACGACGATCTACACCCCAACGCTCGCCTGACAGAGCTTCCCAAGTATTGGAATCTAGAAATATATAACGTCTTTCATGAATATGGTAGCCAAAAATGCGTTAAAACGTAACAAAATTCTGGAGTTTTTTACAGTTTCGTGACGAATTTTCACCCTTTCATAGATGTTTTTGTGTGTATGTAATTAAGTTACCATTAAATGGAAAATTATGTTTCAATCTCTCCACCGTAGGAATAAATAAATTTTGGCTAACATTTGTTTATATTTTAGATAACTCACATGGCTAGTTACTATTGTTCTAGTAAACAGAAGCATAGAATAGAACAAAGGTAACCAAGCTTCAGAATTATCCACATCAGTGAGACGAGAACCGAGAAGAGAATTTCTTAAACAAAGTTTCAAGTACACCGGGGCTGAACTCTGGAATAGTCTTCCGATTGATGCTAAACTAGACGAGTCAATCTACTCTTAGCTTTTAAGAATTTATTGAAACCAAATGACCATCGTGCAACTACACTGTAAGGCGTAAAAAAATACCTGTGGTTCCGGTTTCATAGCGTGAAAAAATTAGGGTCGGCAGGTCGGAAATAAATTTCTTTTTTGAATATTTTTTTTCATGGTTTTGGCGGTTTTTTTTGCTGGGCGATTTGCAGTAGAGTCCCGACATCAATATTAACTAGAGATGCGTATTTCCTATGGACGAATTTAGGCAATTTGGTTCAATAATTAATGTGACAACAGACGCCATTTTGGCACGCTGTATGAGCAGTGTGCAACCACCTGGAGAAAATAGGGTCGCACGGTCAATCGCGTTGAAAAAATAATAGGGTCGGCAGAAAAAAATAGGGTCGGTCGGGAACCGGAATCACAGGTAATTTTTTTTACGCCTAATATAACATCTCAAGCTCATTAATAATTCATAAGAAAATTAGCCAACCATATTGCTTTACTTTGCTCACATGGTAACACTGGATACCTGGTGAAGAATATTGGTCCAGTGCTGGGACTGGATCATAATTATTTCAGTCATTGGACTGGATCAAAATTAATTCACCTCGCTTTAAGTAGCAACGATATACTGCAAACAATGTTAGCCAAATTTCTCTATATGGGCTGTAGTCGCATTCCTGAATGTTTTGATACGAAAACATGACACGTTTTTTCGAGTGAAGGGACATATTCGTGGTTTTGGTAATAACCATATTTGCTGATTTGTGGTCACGTGGCTTCTAGACTTGCTCCAAGTCTCTCTTTGTGGACATCTATATATTGTACATCTATATTGTACGTTACATGACGTACCGCCGAGGGGGGAGAGGAGGAAAGAGAGACTTGTAACATCTGGCAGCAGACATACTTCCGGCTGGTCAATTTCGACCAGCCGGAAGTAGATGGCCGCATTGACTTATCATGTGTTTAGGGGGGGAAGGCGACATCTGGACTTTCAGAGTTATTTGTTTAACATAAGTAATTTTGTATTCACGAGATTTCTTGTAGATTTCACATCACTTCTGACTGCGTGCATTTGGAATTTTGGGCATTATTTTTGCAATTTATTGTAAACAACGATTATAAGAAGAACGGATAAATTACAAATCAGCCGTAATCGTCATAAACCTCGATGACCACCAGTGTTTTTGTGTTTGACATTTTGTATTTCATTAGATATTTATTTGCAAGGTCAGTATAAACGGGTTATCATATAAAATGATCATTCTAATGAATTGATAAAACGAATTATATCTAATATGTACGGCCGCGTTTTTTACACGGCCACTACTGAAACGTTTAGCTTGATTGTTGAATAAATCGATGACTTGCTTAGTTACTTTCTGTTTTGAGCTTAACCATCGTTTAAGCTAAACGGGCTTGATACAGCTGGCCCCAGACTCGGCCCCAGATAAACATTTTTGTATTATCGAAATCGAAACTATAGTATATTGGAAACCGTGTCAATAATAAAAAAACGTACAATGAACTTATGAACATGCGAAAATTGTCACGCCCAAAATTTATACAAATTTTTACTTTGTTAAAAATAATTTTCCAAGTTTGTGTTAAAATAAAGAGATGTATAAGAGAAGAAATATACACAACAGGTAACAGAATATGCTGCTGAAGGTTCTTTTAATTTTAAACTCGTTTACACTATAGAGTTTTCGTCATGAAATACAATTGTTTTATGTGAATATTGTAGATTATTTCTCGTCGCTATATAAAAAAACATTAAATGTCTGTTCTCTCGGTAAATAGTTATAGTTTGTATGTTGGTGTTATGTACTCAGGTGAATATGATGTTTGTGGTGTTACTCTGAGCACATCCACACCAGACATGCTGAAAAGTCTGCATGACCACGGTGGGAATCGAACCCGCGACCCTTGGGATACTAGACCTGCAATGCTATGCCAACTTGAGCTACGAGCAGGGCCGTAACTAGACACGATAATTGGGGGGGTTTGCATATTCATATATTCGTGATCTGCCCTACTGATTTATCGCGTCTAGTTACGGAGGTCAAGTCGGTTCGAGTTGGTGATATTTCGGAACCGAGTCTAGTTCCTTCGATATCAATGTATTCTAAGATATGACATCTTTTGTGTGTGTTGGTGTTATGTATTCAGGTGAATATGTTTGTGATGTTACTCTGAGTGTGCATCCACACCGGACAAGCTGAAAAATCTACCTGACCATGGTGGGAATCGAACCCGCGACCATTGGGAAACTAGTCCAATGCTCTGGCAACTGAGCTACGAGGTCAAGTTCGAGTTGGTGATATTTCGGAACTTAGTCTAGTTCCTTCGATATCAATGTATTCTAAGATATGACATCTTTTGTGTGTGTTGGTGTTATGTATTCAGGTGAATATGATGTTTGTGATGTTACTCTGAGTGTGCATCCACACCGGACAAGCTGAAAAATCTGCATGACCATGGTGGGAATCGAACCCGCGACCATTGGGATACTAGTCCAATGCTCTGGCAACTGAGCTACGAGGTCAAGTCGGTTCGAGTTGGTGATATTTCGGAACTTAGTCTAGTTCCTTCGATATCAATGTATTCTAAGATATGACTTCTTTTTTTTACTAGTATCCCAAAGGTCACGGATTGGTCATTGGATTCCCACCGTGGTCAGGCAGACTTTTCAGCTTGCCCGGTGTGGATGCACACTCAGACTAAGAGTAACATCACAAACATCATACTGACCAGACTACATAACACCAACACACACAAAAATGTCATATCTTATAATACATTGATATCGAAGGAACTAGACTCACCAACTCGAACCAGAAATTTCACAAACTCGAACCGACTTGACCTCGTAGCTCAGTTGGCAGAGCATAACAAAATTAACTATTTCACTCAGGAGCAGACATTGAGTATATAATACACTTATACAAGGCGAGGTTGTGTTGTATAGTAAGGAAGTGTTAGATCGTACCACCATGTAATAAATAGATTGAGTCCTTGACCATTTGATAATCTCCACCTTGACCACCAATAAGAACATATTCGTTGTTATTCACCAAACACAGTGAATGCCCCCAACGGCCTGACGGCCCTGGAATAGAAAAACACAATTAAAGGACCCTCCTGCACTTGAAAATTGACTTTTCAAAATAATCTTGGTGGTGAAGATACTTAATACTTTTTCGGTTTAGCGGACATTTCCGAACTGTTCAGTGTGTTTTGATACACCCTGTATTTAAACTGTCATTCCGGAGGCCACCCAGCATAACACAAAAATCATCAACTCACAACATTCAGGCTTTGCTTCATTGTCTATTTCACAGCCACGTGTGGGAGGTGAATCAGGTTTAACTTGAGCTTCTTTCTTCTTTGTTGACGATTTGAGAAAAGAGCTTGCCAGCGTTGTTTGGACAAAATGGTTGTTGTTGTTGTCATCTGCAGATTTTCTTTTCTTTTTTGGCAACCCTCTACGGTTTAAAAAGAATAGAAAACAGAGAACAAGATGGTCAACATCAAAATATTAAATGCAGAAAACTGAAACAGATTCGGAATAAAATTGCGGCAGAGCCGTGCGAGACTTAGATATACGTAGAGCCCTTTCAGAGCATGTTTTACTCACGAGAACATCCATCATTTAAACCAACAATTGACGACCACAATTGACGCTATATAAGTACTAACCCCCCGTAATTTCAGATAGTAGTAGAAGGGAGTCAAAAATCAATCCTAACTACCCTTACAATAATAGTATTTTACGTGTTTCTAAGCTAATTGCCCCTAGAGAAAGGCTAAATTGTGTACAGTAAATATGTAAATTCCAGGCCTAAGCACCTCAATACCCGCTTATTCCTTAACCGTAATCTACTGTATTTTGTCTATGGCCCCTAATTATATACAGTAAAAACCATATAAGAACCTAGAATTTAAGAACCTGGTTAGGCTAAATTTTGTTAATTCAGATCCCCCCCTTTAAATAAGCACGTGTTTAGGCCACAATTTCTTGTTTGACTAAATAGAGTCAAAATTAAGTCGTTACATTCAGCGTAGCTTTATAGAGGGCGTATAGGCTTGGTATTATAGTGCATATACGTCTGTCATTTTTTAGATAATTTGTGCATAATTTAGATAAATTATATACCATACTGTATCTCCCAAAAATGAGTCTCTTTTTTCTCAAGAAAATAAGAACCTATTTAAGAACCTTAATTAGCTCATTTTCGACATGCTGCTTTCCATGCAGGAGCGTGCATGGTAAGCAGCATTTACATAATTTATTTATTTATTTAATTCGCTTTGTACATATTACAGTGGCAGGGAACAGCAACAGCGTACCGTAATTGCCAATTACTGCGGGCCCGAATAAATAAATTACAACAATACACATATTAAACAACAAAGAACAGTACTATAACAGCTCCTACATACAGCACAAAATGTACACCTGAAAATGAAAATGACGCCGAGGCACTTGGTGACAGACTAACAACAATAATTACTTACATTTACAGAGAGTTACTAATTATTACTAACGCTAAATTACTATTAACGCTAAATTACTAGTAACGCTAAATTACTAGTAACGCTAAATTACTAGTAACGCTAAATTACTAGTAACGCTAGATTACTACCAACGCTAGATTACTACCAACGCTGAATTACTATTAACGCTAAATTACTACAAACGCTAAATTACTATGCTAACGCTAAATTACTACTAACGCTAAATTACTAGTAACGCTAAATTACTAGCCTGCGAACAGGCTCTCAAGCTGAATTGAGAGCCTGCATCGATGACTAATGAATTTGAATCTCTGCGTCTCAAATCGTGACGCTAAATTCTCATTGGTCAGATGCTAAAATTTATATGTTTCCGCTGAGCTCTATATATGTCAACTGCAAGCACTATGCATAAAAAACACATTAACTGATCAAATTGGTCTTGGCCATCTTATCTCAAAGCACGAAATGTTCTGTTTTGAGAAAACAGTATTTAAAACATTTGAACTTTTGCTTGAATATCTTATATTTCGAAAAACAGTATAAACTGTACGGTCTAAATTTAGTTTGCACGGTCTAAATTTAGTTTGCACGGTCTAAATTTAGTTTGCACGAAAGTTGTAAACAACACCATATAAGGATAGACATTCCATATTTGGAAAAACGAACGTTACGGGGCAGATATTCAAATTCATTAGTCATCGATGCAGGCTCTCAATTCAGCTTGAGAGCCTGTTCGCAGAGATACTAAATTACTAGTAACGCTGAATTACTACTAACGCTAAATTACTATTAACGCTAAATTACTACAAACACATAATTACTACAAACGCTAAATTACTATTAACGCTAAATTACTATTAACGCCAAATTACTATACTAACGCTAAATTACTAGTGACGCTAAATTAGCCTGACGCTGTGAGGCTACGAACAGAATTACACTTAGGACATATAGTTTTATAACTACGAGGATCCTCAACATCGTAACATGAGTACAAAGAGGAAATATAATACTTAAACATTGCCGACTTACATGACGAAAGACTATAAGAACCTGTTTGGGCTAACTTGGAAAAATCTTAACGTTCTTATATGCGGGTTTTATAGTATCTATCACCCCTCCCCGCCCACTTCTCTGCACAGCAAGACAGTAAAGTAGCAGCAAAACTTGACAAATTACCCTTTTGGTTCTGTGGTGTTAGGTTTCTTCGCGGGCCGTTCATGGGAGACTACTTTGTTTCCATTTATCTTCGTAGGTGGTTCCGGGGAAATCACTTTGTCCCGTTTAAAAAACGGTGGAATGTCATTTGATAACTGAACAACAAGCTGCCTTCTCTCAAGAAGCTCTAACTTTTCTGGAGGCAATTTTGTTGATACTTCATGAAAATCATTCTTAACAACATTGTCAGGTGTGAGAAGAAGGCAGGCCATTCGATCCTATATTAAAGTAATCTTCCATTAATGAATAACGTTTATATGAGCTGTTCTGCAATCTGATTGGTTGAATTACTCGCCGTATATCAGCTCATATACGGCGAGTAGCGAAAAACAAGATGGCGGTCCAAAAACTACATGACTTTTGCGAAGCACAAAGGAAAATAACCGCTTTGAAAAAGATAATAGTACAAGGAAAAACTCTCAAAAAAATTTGACAGGTTAGCAAAATACATTTATTACATAGAAATTAGTTTAAATACAAGTTTTTCAAAGAATTAATACCAAAACAACAGCGAAAAAAACATGTTCATTGAAGATATAAATTGTTCAGAAAAGTTTGCAACGAAAGACAAATGAATTTGTAGTCAACATGCAAGCACTTACTATACTACCAAACATCTGTACAAATATATCTGAGCTTTTCTGTGAGATATACCGCGGTTCTAAAACAATTTCTTTCACTTCGTCTTCGAGTTGTATAAAACAAAAGTATTAAATAAATTCAAATTTTCAAGGCCAAGCGGTTTTTGGCCAAACAAATTGTCAAGACATTGTAACAGAGGATAATTAATTATTGCTTCAGTTAATGGCTATTAGACTATATCATAAAACAATTATACCATTCGCTCTCGTCGTATATGGCTGATAGCCGACTCGGTGCTACGCACCTCGTCGGCTATCAGCTCATATACGACTCGAGCTGATGGTATAATTGTTAAATAGACCTAACCGTTGCAAAAAATGCAATTATATATAGGCCCTCTGGCAGGAATCAAACCTGCGGCTTTGCAATTTCGGTTCAGCTAGTGCTCTAATTAGGGACTGGTCATAAAGTAACTGCTAGGGTGGGCTGGAGGTAAATCACAAAATTAATTTTGCCAATAAGTTCGGTGACCCATCTTAGGATGTAGATAAAAATTTCAAAGCCCATCTAATCTTACAAAAAAAATTCATAACCCACCCAATCTAAATTGGGAAAATACACTTTTATAATAAAAAAACCCTGCAGGTATGAACATTGTAAATATACACGGCACTGTATTGACATACATAATTCCACCAAGCTTGACCAACACATTGATACTGAGCTACTCTCCAGTTGGTTGTATTTGCTGTGATTCGACCACTTGTTGTTGTATAAACAAAGTACTGGCTTCAATAGCATCATTTGCATTTGATAATTTGGATAGTTTTGCTTACTTTTATTATTAATATCTTTATTTTTTGAAGTAGAGATGCATGGGTTTTTGTTTGGTGGCCCAACCGTAGACACACAAAAAAATTGGCGGCCCATCGAAACTGCCCAAAGATTTTCCATGGCCCAACCCAAATCACTCCAGCCCACCCTAGCAGTTACTTTATGATCGGTCCCTTAGAGATACAGAGTTCCAGGGCTTGAAATAACGTTCTCAAGGTTCCCGATCATGATCAGAAGTCATGACTTTCCCTGCTTTTTTTTCAGGTTGGAAACCCTGCTTTGGCCACCGATCATAAGTAATTTCTTGCCGATCGTTGATCGGCTGTTGTTATTTCAAGCCATGACGTTCATTTGTTGAGCTGTTTATTTCTCCTAGTCCTATAGGCTATGTGACCAGTGTCCAGTTATACTTTTCACTAGGGGTGCACCGGAACCAGTTTTCTAAGTTCGTGCCGGAACCGGATCCGACCGGAACTGGAAAAAAGTTCCGGCCGGAACCGAAACTAATTTATTAAGCCATATATAGTCATATGTTACTTTGGCCGCTGCCAGACAGGCAGACACTTCAAGTCATCAAGGAGAGAGCTCGCAAATGTTAGAATAAAAAGATTGACAAACGTTAAACGTCATAATGAAGTGTTAATGGTGTACATTTCCCTTGCGTAGTCCAAATTTCTTCCTACTGTGACCTTTTGTTAGACACAAAAACGTTTGATATTCTATCTCTCTGAAAACGACAGAGTTCCGGTTCCGCGTCCATGCTTTTTATTAGTTCCGGCCGGAACCGGAACTCTAAAAAATCGGGGTTCCGGCCGGAACTAACCGGCCGGAACCGAGTTCCGGTGCACCCCTACTTTTCACGTAGCTGTATATCCCGGCTTTACACTGCAGCCAGGGGCGCCAGTCGACAATATTTCTTCAGCAATTAGTCGGCAAATTGTTTTCTCACTATAGACCCCTTGCACATGACGTCACAGCGCCAGTGGCAATGCATCTGGAGGACAAATTAGCAATCTATTCATAATATAACTATGGTAAACAAAGCAAATTTTGTAAAAGTTTATAATAATTTTGTATTAAAATGGTTAATTTTTGCGCTGTATGTGGTTGTTGTACCCGAACAGATATTGTTAGGGAGCATCTGGAGGACACTCTATGGATTTGTGACGTCTGTGTTAAGGGTCTATTGGCAAATTGATTTCCCAGTCGGCAAAACATGAATTGGATAGGACGGAATGGATTTAAAATATTTGAGTAAATCTTCTGAAATGTGAAAATTTCACCTAAAATTGGGCAAATTTAAGAAAAATCAAGAAGAAAATTTGAGAAGTGGTACGGGTATTGAAAACGAAGAAAGAAGGGAAACATTTTTTACCTCCTCCCCCCACCAACAATTGGGAGAATATTTGGTGACCAAGAAACGTTTTTTCTATACCAAGGGGAAATGACTCGGTAAAATTTCAATTACACATCCCAAATAAAATAGGGCTAGTGCCGCCCCTGACTGCAAGTGACTGTATAGGGCCAAATAAAAATAATCGTTGGTTTCAAGTTTCCGACCGACCTGTCAAAAATATGACTGACCATAAACATTTTATTCACATTTCCTAGTAGAGATCATCTTTTCGTAAGTAACAGATATATAAATAGTCACCAGACTCATTTGTCTACAAATATGTCTAGTCACAATTGGTATATGGTATACAATAATATATGAAAATGTTTGTAGGATGTATAGCTACCTTTTCATACAAAATATGACTTCTAGCCAAAAATGCTTCAGGCCACTTCGGTTGCAGACAAACAGAATTAGCATTTTTCTCAAGATAGCCAACTCTATGTGGCTCCGCCTCATTTTCTAAGATGACATTAATTGCCAATCTTTCATTGCAATTGATCAGATCTCCCAGTTGGAATACAATAACTTGTGGTGGAAGAGGGAATGCAAAGAAACAATGAAATTCTTTGCTGCCATGTTTTCTAAACAAATATTTGGTTTAACTCATCAAAATACCTGTTTGTATTTGAGCGGGTCCGCACCAGGCAAGCTGAAAAGTGACAGTGATTGCCACCGCAGTGCGAGTCGAAGCCGCGACCATTGGTCCATCATAATTGGGATATCATATCGAAGAAATTAGACCGAGTTCTGAAATATCACCCAGTCAAACCAGGGTGTGATAATTCAAGATTTTTATTTGTACCTGACTGGTACGCCAACGATTGTTGCCGCATATTCATAGGCTTACCGGGCGGGGGGGGGGGGGGGGAGCCCCCC